ATTTTTCAAACTATATTTTTTCTGTACTCACTGGGATTCATTATTGTGGACTTCTCCCCACTTAGCTAGAAAATGTTATTGATTTTCTGAGTTCACAGAGAGTAAACTTTGAAAATTCAGTCTCCCATGGACTACCCCACAGTGTCTGTATGTGCAAAAATAAACAAAACTACAACGGTGGTGAAATACACATTTATTTGTTTCAATAAAGTTTTAAAATTTAACAAAAATGCATTATTATTACCAAAAACCTTCAGGAAATAACAGAGATTGACCTTAACAAAAATACAAAGATTTCATTCCACAGTCTCTGGGACTTAAGAATTCATTTGAGTTCCAGAGATAATACTAAACTAATGGGTTATGTCAAATTGCCAACATCCATGCTGAAGCTTTTCCTGATATGATCTTTTGCAATGTAAGCAACAGTATAAAGATTTTTTTACAAGTTCATGTTATATTATATGATTTATGTGATGTCGAAAAAAGAAAACCCAAAAATCTTTGCTTAAAAATAAACATGCATAATGCAAATTTGCAAGCTTTGACCTGCATCAGAATCACTGAAAGAGCTTGTTTAAACATGGATTGCTCGGTCTCACACCTCATTCAGGTGTTGGGTGGGGCCCAAGAATTTGTATTTCTAACAGGTTTCTAAGCCAAACCAATGCTACTTGTATGGGGACCACACTTTGAGAACCACTGGCAAAATATTTAGTAAAACAATGATTATGCCATAAGAAGGAGTATGTTATAGTATAAGGCACAACAATGCAATGCTTTGTGACCCTGCACCAATCACCCTTCCCAATCTGTACCTTGCATAAATTCTAAAGAATCAAATGAAACATATTTATAGCACTTAACACAATGCCTGGTACTACACAATGTTTTTATGCCATACCAGAGCAGGGTTAATGCTACCCTCAAACTGTTAACTGAGTTGCTATGTTTAGCTAGGTGCACCTCTTAAGGCAGTGTTACCAAAAGTAAGAGGCACTTTTCCACCTCCCAAGATCACCCATTAGCATTTCTGAAGTGTCCGTTTATTCGTCCCATTACAATCTACACTGACTGACCCATTTACTTTACATAGTAAATAATACAGCCAACATAAAAATTACTGGCATAATTTTACCATAAACTAGTGATGTTGGTCACTGTCCTAAACCATCTGAACATGAAACTTTTAATGTGCTATGGAAGGCCAGTAACTGTTCAACTTTTTTAAACACTTTATCAAATGAATGTATTCTTACCAACAGTGTTTTGAAGGTTCTTCAAATGGAATTTCCTGGGCCTAATAGCTTTGTTTATACTTTTGCATTAAAAATAATGAAAAGAAATTATAGATATCTTTCCATTAATTTTTCTTAATTTGATTCCATAAAACTAAAATGCCCACTGATGATATCATCAACCTTTGTTTAACCATAGCAAATAGTTCACATTTTAAAGGAATACGAATATTTCTCTACATAAAAGCCTATAACACAACACACAGACTGTGAATTTCGTGGTCCATGGTATATCTAAACAAGGATAGCGACTGATCATATATGAATTAAGACTATAATTTACACTTGATAATGTTGCACATTTTAATGTGAAAAACATACATAGCAGTCAAAAGTCTTACTTTGTTTTTCTTTCACGTACGTAAAGCCAAAGTCCAATCTTTTCCTAATTGGCTCATCTTAATTTATTTCATATTGCTCAACTATCTTACACAAAATAGAGAGCTTTTTCCTTTTAAAATCATCTTCACTCAGTAAAAATAGTTTTTTGAAAGTGAGTAAAATTGTACATTTGGTCCAGTATTGAGGGAAGTTTCACTTTCTATCTTCCTTTTTAACCTTATCTGGTTAGGCAACAAAATAAAATGGATTGTAAAAGATACAATATCTTTTTATCTATCTCTTTATCACGAATAACTTCCATAAATTCTTTCCCCAAGAAGTTGACGAGGAATAAAACGTAACCTCTTGTAGAAGTGAAGGGCAACCAGGAGCATGAGATTGAGAAAACATGTGGGTGTTTCACAGCTACTGATAGAACAGTGTGCACACACAGAGTGAATCTAGAATTTTTAAAAAGATATTTGATGACGTCTAAGATAAATGACTACTGTTTCAATTAAGACTAAGAGACCTTATGAGTTTTTTCAACAGGCTTGCTACAATAATGGAGTATGTTCTTATAAAAGGACTTGAGACATTATCTAAACATTCTAACTGAATGGTGCTTGTTCACTTGTTAGACATGTGCAACGTTACTGAAAATATTAATTCAGAGTTCTAGAAGAAGACTGATTAGCTTGTGCAGGTGTATGAAGAATGGCACATTAACAAAAAGTTATGTAAACCATTTACTAAAAAACAAAGACTGGATTTTTATTCTCAGACTTCTTATCTTTTTCAAACTATGAAGGACCTGAAATTCTTTAAACACCAGCAGATTTGGTTGATAACAGTTCCAATTTTGAATTAAATTACTCATGTAGTTTTAAAACACAAAGATAATTAAAATTTTCAGTCAGGCTGAACATAGGTATTCAAGAAGCCTCCTTACTTATTCAAGAAGCCTCATCATGAATGTATTCAGATCTTCTTATCCACACTGCATTTTTTATTTTTAAACATTATTCCTTCTGCAATATACTAAATAGATTTTAATATATTGCATACTGCTGCTTCACTAAGAGGCACCTAAGTTATTTGGAATATTAGCATTTAATTTCAAAAGTAAAACTTATGGTTAGCATTTTACTGACAGTACAGAAAGGAAATAATTAACCAATGTTAAAAATAAATTTCATTTCTTTTTATTATTTATTTTACATGAAAGCATACTAAAATGAATCAAGCTGACTACTCCACAATGAAAACCTATACAATGAGAATGATGAAAGATGTCTACACAATACTAATGTGATCAATAAATTATCCAGATGTTTTCTACAAATATTTGGATTACCTAAGTTAGCTGATTTTTCAACAGTAAAGTTTAGCTTTCACATGGTCCTTGCTGGTAGCAGGAGCCATTTGATACTTAAACTTAGAAGAAATACATAACAATATAAAACCCTGAAGAGTATAGCCAAATAATTCAAGAAAAAAGTTCACCAAAAAAAAATAATTAAAAAATAATAATATATACATATAAGGTATCCAGGGAGGGAGAGAAAACAGGGGTGTAAGGAAAGTTCATCGAGTGATCATCACTAACATTCTATCATTACCAAAGTGACCGCCCAGATGTAAACTGTTTCTTAGACTTAAACACCTAAAACAAAACAGCAATCAATAATACATAAAGAAAAACTAACTTAAAATCATGGTTGAATACATCAACAATTCATGGTTGAATATATCAACAGTTTGGTGACATGCACTGAAGTCTTTACTTCATTACTGCTATAAATTCCTTTGAACTGTTCGTTTCATAATACACACTTACGTAAAAGAAATATGGTACAGTGATTCCTGATAGGCACCAGGTCTTTCACTCCAACATTCAGTAAATGCTGAGGCACATCAAATGCCACCTATCAACTAGACCTAAAAGACAATGGCTGAATAATACATAAAAAGATACTCTGAATGAACTATTCAGATTAGACTGGTTAATGCTATTTATGATTGCACTTTGTGTTACTGACTCATACTACATAGACTGTACACTGCCAGATGGAAGGGCTGGTCCATGTCCATTTTTAAAAAACTTCTGTAATATCTGTAACTGGATGCCCAGTTGATTAATAAGTACTTGGTGACTCTCTCGTCCATATTCTTCTTACATACTCACATGTAGTTATTTTGGGGATGAGGATATGACTTTAACATGATATGAGATTCTAGCTAAGTAAAGTAAAAAACAATGGGGCTTCGATTTTCTTGGGTAATGATTCAAGTCTTTACAATGAGAATAAAACCACCAACTCTGTTACGTCACTAAAAAACATATTAACACGGGGGAAGTGCCTTTGTTGAGGCACCTGGCGAGCAAAATGTTCATTGTTTATTAGTATGCTTTCAGTTTAATGGACCAAAAGCAAGTGTCATTAAATTCTAAGTAATACAAATTTACAATCCTAGTTGATGGGATGCCCTTTATTTATGAGAGCAAGCATAATTCCAATACAAAAGAAGTTTACTGTTACATATTAGGAATGGTTCAGATACAATAAGAGAATGTTTAGCAGTGCTTCTAACATGTTATTTTTGATTGCTAGTTCTTTCCCACATAATATGCTCCCCACAATGAAAAGCCTTGGTGCATTTGGTTTCTTATGTTGCAAGATGAAAATATATGCCTGAATTTTTTAACAGATTATTAACAAAAGCATGTAAGTGCCAACACTGCATGGAACTTACCAGGCACAGACTCAAGATCATAAAACCACAAGAAGATGAAAGATGACTATCACTGTACCTGTGAGTATTGTCTTGGACATCAGATCAATTATCAAAGGCAAGGTCTTTCCTATTTTGTCTTATGGTGATGAATATATGGACATGACTAATATACTGACTTGTATTATATTCAATTAAGTATTAGTGAATGTAAAATACTGCATTCTAACTTCTGATTATCAAAATCCAGATTAATCTAGAAAACATAAAACATGTGTAACTGAGGTAGGTTTCTGACCTTAAGAATACATTGTTTCTACCACAATTTATTTTAAAAAAGAATACATTGCATCATGTATCTACCCGACACTTAATTTTTTTTGTTTTAAATTACTTGATCAAGTGTGACAGTGTGAATCTATGACATGTAGTAAATTCCTTTAGAAATACACACCCTAATACCTTCCTTTTCCTCTCTAAAGGTAACTGCAGTGCAATAAAATTAATAACAAGTCTAGCAAAATAACAAGTCTAGGTTATTTCATCAATTCTCAAAGTTAATGCACATCAAAAATAAGGGAGGCAAGTCATGTCCATTTGAAAGTTAATAACCTTATTGTTTTGAAAATAATATCAAACACATTATAACTTTGGATATGCTTTATTATGACACAAATTCCCAGGAAATATAAGAAATATTATTTCTGAACGGGACTAATAATTTCACAAATACTAACACTTTGACAATAGCCAAGTTTTCTAAGGTGGTGCACATGTATTAAGCTACCTTTTCAAAAATCTCAATATTTTTTATAAATTTAAAGGGATATTATAGTAGATCCTACTTTATTTTTTAACATTCACTCTAAAAATCTATAGGTGAAAAAATTCATACTTTAAGGAAGAACTGCCTATGAAAGCTCTGCCTAAATTCCCAGGTACTGCATCTGCACTAGGTACTATTATATAAATGTAAGATCAGTGTGGGAAATGTTTCCAACAAACTGAAGAAAAGGAAAAAAATTAAAACAGCTCAGTCTTTAAAAGTATTAATAACTGATATAATTTTAAAAGGGGAAATTGAATATTTATTTACTTACATGTAGATTAAATAGAAAATTTAAGATACTTTTTACCAAAAACCAAGCACTAACATTTTAAGGCTAGATATTGACAGCATTCTCACAACATCCAAAGCATGGATGGGAAACTAGGCAATATCGGTATTTTTACCTAAGGACAACTAGAAAGAGATGAGTACCTCTCAGCCAAAGGTAGTAACTGGGTCCGGCAACAACTTGACATGTGGGTAGCAGATCACCGATCCCATGCTGGGTAATAGTCTCCAAAAAGGATGTCCTTATGCACAATTTCTGCAACTGCATCAAGTTTGGTAATCTAACATTGAACTTGGTAAATATGTATGAACATATGAAAACATCCCCAGATACCAGGTTATTAAATAATCTGAAAGAGGGAAAATGCTGGTAGCTAGCATTTTGTTAATTCCAGAGTCTCCAATGGAAGGTGTAAAAGGAAAGAGGTAATGGCAGCTGTTTACAAACTTATGTTATGATCAGAATCATCAGATGGTGAGCTTTAAAAATTCTGTCCAGGGTCTCAATCTAAACCCATCTAGAAACTACAGCCAGGAAATTCTTGTTAAGTAACCCAAGTGATTCTGATGATCAGCCAAGCTGAAACTTCTAAAGTGGAAAGTGGTGGGGACGTGGGGGACGCAATCCAAGTCACTGCAGAGAGTTTCAGAATTCAATATCTGATTTTTATCATTTACTGTACATTTTATCCAATTGTGTCACCCTTCCTATTTTTCTAACAGTGGATAATGAAGGGGCTTGGCAAATGAAGAAAACAGAATCAGTGGCGTACCCAAAATACATTTACTATGTTCAAGCCACCTGAGTATATTAACTGGATAAATGGGTATCAGTATACTGTTTGAAATCAAACTATCAGGCAGACATGTTATTTTAAAGGAGGGGGTTTCCTTACTCAATATAAAACAACTCTAAACACTAATGGTAATTAATAGAAAAGAAAATGTATATAATTCTTCAAAACAACTGTTTTTTAAAAATCCAATGTTAAGAAGAAAATCTCCTAAATTTGAGGTAGGGCAATAATTCTCTTATGAGAACAACTATGTCAGTGTTATTCTCCAAGTTAGAAATTAAGCAAAGTATTTTAGTACTAGTACTGTTTATGTATTCTTTGTAATGTAAGGATAAATGTTTTAAGTGTGCATAAATATTATGGTTTTGATTTTAATGCATATGGTAATTAAAAATGTGAATTTTTTTTTCTTCTACACTAAAATCGTACATTCTCTCCAGGCTTGATGAATAAAATGACTTTTTAAATATCCCATGTTCACTTATAAACCTACAAAAGGTAGTACCTACATAAGAAATTTTATATTAAAATTACAAATCTATGTTCTTCAGAAGTTAAATTTCAATTTTTTCAATATTCAAATACAAAATAGTACATTTTTATTTCCTATAGCACAATTCAAGTAATCTCTTAAATTTTATGTTTAGCCAACTAGAACATGATATTAAGTGACTTTATAATAGCTTTCCATTTTAAAGATGGCTGTTTTACAAAATAATGAGAGTCTATATTACTCTAAATCGCTTAGATTAAGTTGAAAGAACAAATGACAGCAGACAAAAACTTTTATGAGTAAATCACAACTACACATAAAAGGTTGCACATTTCAGTAATAAGGCATTTACAGGTAACTCCCAAAAGTACTTGAATTCATGTAAACCAAGACTATGTATATTCCTTTAGGGAGAAAAAGCATTTTATATTTCAGCACCATAGCTGAAATATATTCAAATGATTGTGACTTTAAACCGTATATTATTTGAATACCACAAAAAACCAGAGGCATAACCTATCATTTTTAAAACTGAAAGATGTTACTTATTTGTGAAAACAAAAGTAGATACTTTTGAAACTAATGATGAAAAAGAAATGTTTTCAAAATAAACACCCACTGTTTTCCAGAAATAAATATACATACTTAATGTATTGCAGCACAGGAATATTGCCCTAGCATTAATCATAACATTCGATCAGTAGTTTTAAAATATTACTTTCCATACTGAACCTTGAATCTTCTACCTTGTTAGCTGACCAACAACTTTCAAAAGAGTTTTATTCTCCTGCTTTAGTTGTTCGTTTTCATCTTCTATGTCATCTAGGTCCTTAAGGAAACAAAAAGGAAGGTAATATGTTAGTTTTTAAAATACTTTAAACGTGCTTAACACACTTCAAAAAATACACATTCAGAGTTAATTCATGCAAGCAATTAATCTGGAGGTGAGGACAAGTTCTGAAAACAAGTTTAGATAGAATATACCCCTCTAAAGGGAGCATCCTCTACTCACCACCTTCTCATTGTTACCATGGTAACACAAGCCAACCCTTGCCAGATCTTTCAGTTTCTCAAGAGAACCCAGAAATCACAATTCTTTAATTGTGAATCTTCCAATTTTTTATTATAACTTAATATTTTTTTAAAAAATAAATTCCCCTTTTCTCAAAACCATACATAAGGGGGCAATAAGAGGTTGAGGGACTCAGATTGTAATCTTGTACCTAATTAGCAATCAAAAAGATCCAGGTACAAATTCTGGACATACTCCTACCACCTTGTGTGATCTTTCCTAAGTGCGTATTGTGGGGTAAGAATCTGAGGAGCTGATAAAAAACTGAGGCATACAGAAAAGGAGATCTGGAGCATAGAGTTGACCTAGTTCAATTTACATGTTAGGCTTCTCTGTGACATTTTAAGTAAAAGGTTTTAGAGCTTCACAAAATTGAAAGCCACTAAGCTAGGTAATCACTCTCCAACTTTAAAGCTATGTGATTCTAGCTCTATATTCCCTCTATTAATCCTAGTACCTTATATACAGTTATTCTGTAAATACAAAGACCATCTACCCCAAGCTTTAGAAGAAACATCATTTCTAGGCAAACTACTGATGGTTGAAAAGCAGACATTTATGGATTTATCCTTGCAATTCAAAATACTAACCAGAGCAATCAATACATTATGTGTGTTATTGGATAGCAGCATTCTGATATAGTTAGTATACTGTCTTTGGACAATTAGGTACATGATTTAAAAATGTAAAAAAGCAGAATTTGCATTTACAAGCTAAATGAATGATGTTCAAAAACTAATCTGTCGAAAACAACAATAAAGATGCATGATTTCCAAAATTACTATAACTGAGATTTACCTAAGATTTAGAATTAAATAAAAGAATACATCATATATCATTACTAGATTATAAATTCTGTAAGCACAGGTGTTTTATTATTCTCTTTAGTGTACACAGTGCCTAAGGCCAGCATCAACACCACAAATAGTTGCAGATTTTATTAAATCATAGTCCAGAGCCAATAGATAATGCCTGTGTTCTGAAACAAGATGAAAGACCTTATTTAGAATGAAGATTCCCGAATACCTGAGGTCAAATAACAGCTCAGTTGATGAATATGTGATTCCTGCATATGACCTGGAGCAAGTTAAACTCTTGAGTTTCAATGTCCTCATCTATAACTTGTCATTAATGCCTTACATCTTTATCATTCTACATGTAATGAAGGCTCTCTATTTTCTCTTCTTTCACAGAGTTAAGATTGGATTAGAAATCTGTTCCTTTTTTACCTGAAGCAAACATTTCCTTCCTCTGTCTTATCTAAAGTCAAGTCTCCTAGAAAGCAAAACTATGGATTCTCTTCTCATCACCTTTACCTAAGCAGGGTCTACCATTATTAAGATCTACTTCTTAAGCAGGCAGTAAATTCAAGGACTAAAAGCAAAAAAGCAAAGCAGCAAACAAACAAACAAACAAACAAACGAACAAACCCTACAAGTAATCATTAGAAAGGCCCTGGGAAAGTTGAGGATGCGTATAGACAATTGAAAAAAGTGTGAAGATACACACAAAGAAATGTGCAATTTCCAATGGCAGGAGGTAGCTGTGTAGTTCTTCACTGAGCAAATTTTGTGCTCTTCATGTGTAGTAATGACCAAGCTGCCCCTCACCTCCAGACTAACAAAACACAAAGTAAATCCATTTATCAGTCCATTCCAAAAAGAACAATATTAAGTGAATACAACTGATAAATGAATAGAGGAAATCAATTACAGAATAAAATGATGGTTCTTACTACCACAAATTACTATCTCATTAAAAAAATTAAATAATGAAATTAAATAATTTCTTCATAGTTACATATTTTCATCCAATCATCAGGAAAGAAAAAGGAACCAGGAAACTGAAATGTGTAAATACTCACTCTATTTAACAAATCAATTTCTTCTTTGAGTTTTCCGATCATTTCCTCTTTATCTTGCATTAGTCTCACAAGTCTTAAGTTTTCTTGCCTTTCTCTTAATACTTCCTGGTAAATATAATTACAAAGTTTATTAAGTGAAAAGTAATTGGTGATCTATAATCATAAGTGGCATACATCCGCCAAATTTGGTGAAGTATGTTAAATATATGAAGATTTCCAATGAATTATCTTATGTCATTTAATGAGGGAAGGAAATATCCATCCCAGAAAAGAACCAAAGATGGAGAGGAACACAGAGTTGTAAGGTACTATGTTTCTGATTAAATCTATGTTTATACAAGTCTTTAACAAATAGTAATATTCAGTGGAGTCCCCTCCTAAGCTTATCAGCACTATTAATCCTAAGATATTTTTAATGGATAATATCTGTTGGAGAAAATTCAAATTTATTGAACATACAAGAAGTTTAAGCAATGTACTTTGGTGTACACCTGAAACTAATATAATAATGCATGTCAACCGTAACTGCAAAGTAAATTAATTTCTAAACTCAATAAGCAAATAAATAATTTTTTACAAAAAAGAAAAAAGGAGAAAGCTCTATGGAAAAGTCTAAACAGAAAAATAATGGCTCTCAGTTTTATCTCCAGCTCTGCTAGTTAACTGACAATGGATAAAACAAAGGAAATGAAATAGATTGCTGGTTTTTAAGCTTTTTCTTTTTTTTAAAAGATGCAGCCCTTTTTTTTCAAAGAAATCTTACTTAAAATCCAGAGCCTTGGGCTTGGTCAGCCACCTTGGGGGCAAAACAGAAGCAGAACTGAAAAGGTCTTGCCCAGAACTTGGCTTCTTTCCTACCAACTCCCACAGACAGCGAGCAAGCTGACTTCATTCATCAACTGCTGTCGATCCAAACCCTTGTGGAACTTCAAAAGCCTTCCTGAAGAATCCCCTTGAAACTACTGAACTATGTATTCCTTAAAGTTTTAATTTAGAATTAAAAAAATTAAATTATAGAAACTATTCTGAAAGCTCAGATCAGAACTAAAAGTAATGATAATACTATAAAAAGAAATGACTTTAAAAATTAAATCTCTACTAAAAATCTTTATACACAGGTAATAATTTTTAAAATATATATTATTGATTATGCTATTACAGTTGTCCCATTTCCCCCTTCACTCCTCTCTACCCTCCACACCCTCTCCCACCCACATTCCCCCCTTTAGTCCATGTCCATGTGTCATAAGTTCTTTAGCTTCTACATTTCCGATACTATTCTTGCCCTCCCACTGTCTATTTTCTGCCTACCACCTATGCTACTTATTCTCTGTACCTTTTCCCCCTCTCTCCTCCTCCCACTCCCCTGTTGCTAACCTTCCATGTGATCTTCATTTCTGTGGTTCTGTTCCTGTTCTAGTTGTCTGCTTAGTTTCTTTTGGTTTTGCTTTAGGTGTGATTGTTAATAATTGTGAGTTTGCTGTCATTTTATTATACATGTTTTTTTTATCTTCACAGGTAATAATTTTAATTCATCAAAACAAAACATTTTCAACAAAGTAATTCAGTACCATTATCAATTTTAGAGGCTGAATGTCTATAAAACAAACCTGATGAATTTATGCCAATATTCATGAGTTTTTCTCAGACATTACTAAACAGGTTTACTCTTAAAATGGTTTAAAACATGATCTGTACATTGCACTGTGCTTATTAGCCAATGTCACCCCAATAAATTTAATTTAAAAATTAAAGAAAATTGTGTCAAACACCAAACGTGGCTCTGGGCTCTAACTCAGAAACCAGAGAGTCTACAAATGAGAATCTATACAGATAACACACACACAGTGTGTTAGAAATCTGCCAGAAGAGATTTCTAACCGTTTCAAAAACAAAGGCTATTTTCAATATATTAAAGATAGCACATGGAAGAATGGGAGTAGCCATTAAATACTAAAGAATACAAGAACTGGCTCTATTTCTAAAGGTTTTAACATCAACAGAACTGGATACAGGAAAACACTAAGGAAATCAGAAAATGCCTAGTCACTATGCATCTAGACAACAGACTTAAGACAGTGATTCAAAGCTGCTATTTGAATATATTTGGAAATACCAATTACCACTAATGGTATCTCCTATTAGTGCCCTCATTCTTTCCCCTTTTTTGGCATTGTCTCTCCACTACAAATTTCAACTTACTTTCTTTCTGAGCTGCTATGTAAGCAAAAAAAGGAATCCAAATGGTATATTAATTCTATATATCTTAAATAATTTATATTTCATACCTTTTCAAGATCTTCAATTTTCTTTTCCAGTGTGCTACTTGAGGCCAAATTACCTGAAGCATTTGTATCCCTATTATATCTGCTGAGCCCACTTCTATCTGTTCGGGGATATCTACTTGAGATTTCTTCTTCAGAGGCAGTAGTTGTGCTATGGAAATAAAAATACATATATGTGTGTATATATACATTTAATATACTCAGCAAGAAGAACATCAAAAATATTTTTTATTCACCATAAACAATTACCATTCACCTGAGGACACATGGTTATAGTAATCAACTTATTCATAACTACAGAAGTTAAATTATTCCAACACAATAAAAAATATTTCACTCAGAAAACAAAAAGCACTCGTTAATTCTTTAACCAATATCTACTGGGTAGCTGCTAAGTACCTGACACTGTTCTGGGTACTAAAAATATAAAAGCAAACACAGACTTATTCTCTGCCCTTCAACATAATAGAGACTATAACCCATTATAACAAAGCAACACAATCCCAATAACATAAATGTAGGGTAATATGACAGGGACCTAATGTAGACTATCTGTGGTAAAGAATCGCTTCTCTTTTCTCTTTAAAAAAAAATCCAATGCATTATGAACCAACTTTTATAAGATCAAATAAAAATTAAAAAGGTGATACAAAATACAAGTCCAAATATTGTATTAGATTCAGACCCATATGCCAATAATATACTTAGAAAAAAAGAATTACATGAAATTGCATAATTTTCATTGGAAGTATGCATATAGGCAACAACAGGCTATCGCACTAAAATCATCTGAAGGCTTGAACCTAGCTTGACTGGCCTGAAGGTTTGCCTGTAAGCTTACTCACAAGTCAGATGGCAAAGAGCCTCAGTTTCTCACTGGCTGGTGGCCAGAAGTCTCATTTCCTCAGTATGTGGGCCTCTCCATTAGGCTGTTCACCATGTGGCAGCTGTCTCCCAGAGAGAAAGCAGCATTGCAACCAACACAGACGCTGCAGTATCTGTTCTGACCTAATCTCAGAAACGACATACTATCACATCAGCCTGCTTTGTAATGTGGAAGGGGACTGCATACAAGGTGTGTAAATACCAGGAGGTAGGGCTTCCTGATGGCTGTCTTGTTAATTTACCTACACTAGTCTGGACTGTTGATTACACTGCTCACAAGGGATAAGGTATATCTAAACTACATGTTTTGTTTAAACAGCATTCATAACAGAGAAACCAGTTTCACAGATCTATGTTGATGGGAATAGATTTTTAAGCAATTTCAGCAAGTTCAAGATATTGATTTTCAACTTTTATCACAAATACAGAAAATGATGATTTTCAAAATGCCTTCAATCCTTTATTGGTAGTTAGTTCCAATCATTTACCTTTGTCTTGTCATTTGTGTGTAGTTTTTAAATGTTAGCAAACTGAAGTGAAACTTTAAAAGAAGTTCACATTACCATTTAGTCCCCCTTAGTCCCCCCTACCCACAGCAATCACCATACTGTTATCCATTCCCATGACTCCTTTTTCCTTTTTGCTCAATCCCTCTAAAGGAATTCGTTACTAATAAAAATTTTTAAGAGAAATTTACAAAGCACTAATCACATGAAATCCTGAAGATCTGCTTCTGTTAGATTTTTAACTGTAATGTTCCTTCGTTCAAATAATGCTTTTTTGGTATATTTATGTCATACCTATTATAATTGCCACTTAAATTTTGATGATTTTAGTGTTTAAGTGACAGTACATCACTGCCGATAACCCACATCGTTTTAACATTTCCCCACCAAGTATGGCTAAAAATTGAACTCAAAATAGGAGCGATAATGTTTCCCAACAAAACCAGCACAAACTTTTGTTCTGTATTTCTTTGAAATTACTTTCATCATCATCACTTGGTTTACTGTTACTGTCACATTCAGAAAAGGCACACCTTTACTTACCAAAAAATGTCTATTAAAGTTTGTTTTATCTTAGTATAAAAAGTAAAAAATATAAACTTACTCCCTGGGTTTAGAAAATACTATTAACAAAAGCAGAAGTTGAAAATAAAGTATTTTTACCTTTTATTTGCTTGTTTTATTTATTATATATTTATTTTAAAATTATTCATGAAACAGGAATAAGTCAAATTAAATCTAACACAAGATTTTTAAGGTGATAAATCTTTACATTTTCTTCAATTCTTAAACACTTTGAGTTACAAATGACTAACATAAAAATAACATGTACAGCTGAATACACGTTCTTCTCAAGTTCACATGGTACATTCACCAAGACAGACCATATTCTGTGCCATGAAACACGTCTTCACAAATTTTAAAGAATAGAAATCATACAATGTCTGCTCTCAGACCATAAGAGTTAAACCAGAAATCAGTAACAGAAAGATAACTGGGAAATCTTAAGATAACGTAGAGATTAAACAACACACTTCTAAAGTCCATGTGGATAAAAGAAGAATCTCAAGAGAAATTTAAAAATATTTTGAACTAAATGAAAATGAACCCACAACTTAAAATTTGTGAGATGCAGTAAAAGTAGGACTTAGAGGAAAATTTATAGCACAGAATGCATGTATTAGGAAAAAAATATCTAAAATCAATATTCTTAGTTTCTACCTTTGAAAACTAGAAAAGAGCACATTAAATCCAAATTAAGCAGAAAAAATAAAATAACAATTACAGCAGAAATTAATGAAAATAGAAAACCAATATACAGAACATCAATGAAACCAAAAGCTACTTCTTTAAAAAGCTGAAGAAAATCAATAGGTGCCTACCCAAGTTAACTAAGAAAAGGAGAAGACACAGATCTCAACTACATGACATGGTAGAAAAAAACAAAACTATGGAGAGAGTAAAAAAGATCAGTAGTCGCCAGAGGTTAGAAGAGAGGTGATTGGTGGCGGTTGGGTTGGGGGGGGGGACCATACAGGTGACACACAGAGGACTTTTAAGGCAGTTAAGCTACTCTGTATGAGACTAAAAAATGATGGATATATGTCATTATACATTTGTCTAATTGTATAGATCATACAACACCAAGAGTAAGTTGACAGTCTAATGGGCACCCCTTTGTAGGTAACTGTCTCCTTTTCTCTGGCTGCTTTTAAGATTCTTTCCTTATCTTTCATCTTGGATAATGTAGTTATGATGTGCCTTGGTGTGTTCTTCCTTGGGTCCAACTTCTTTGGGATTCTCTGAACTTCCTGGACTTCCTGGAAGTCTATTTCCTTTGCCAGAATGGGGAAGTTCGCCTTTATTATTTGACCAAATAACTTTCCCACTTGTTGCTCTTCCTCTTCCCCTTCTGGTACCCCTATAATTCGGATGTTGGAACGTTTAAAGATGTCCTGGAGGTTCCTGAGCCTCTCCTCATTTTTTTGAATTCTTGTTTCTTCATTCTTTTCTGATTGGGTGTTTCTTTCTTCCTTCTGGTCCACTCCATTGAGTCCCAGTTTCCTTCCCATCACTACTTGTTCCCTGTACATTTTCCTTTTTTCACTTAGTATAGCCTTCATTTTTTCATCTAATTTGTGACCAAATTCAACCAATTCTATGAGCATCCTGATCACCAGTGTCTTGAACTGTGCATCTGATAGGTTGGCTGTCTCTTTGTTCCTCAGTTGTATTTGTTCTGGAGCTCTGATCTGTTCTTTAATTTGGGCCATTTTTTTTCCTATTGATGTGCCTGTCTTGTAGTGAGGGGCAGAGCCTTTGGTGTTCAACAGGGCGAGGCAACCCAGTAGCTGGGTTGTGACACTGTGTAAACTATATAATGTAAACTATGGACTTTGGGTTATGATGTGGCAATGTACGACCATCAATTGTAAAAAATGTGCTTCTCTGGTGGGGGATGTTGATGATGGGGAAGGTTATGCATGTGTGGAGGCAAGGGGTATGTGGGAAATCTTTACACCTTCCCCTCAGTTTTGTGTGAGCCTTAAATGGCTCTAAAAATTAAATTTTTAAAAACTGCACATGCACCATGGCACTTGTAGTTGGACTAGTCAATATCCTGTTAGAAGAGAGTCCACTGATCATACAGTTAGATGTGATGATAACATCAAAATATAATTGAAACTTCTAAATATTTACTTTTGAGTTCTTACCTAGTTATGGATTGGTAATGACTAAATAGTTCAAGGACCACACATTGAGCACTGATGTTCGAGAATGTTTAAACTCAGAAGAGAAATAAGAATGTGTAAATATCTAAAAATAAAGAATATGTGGCCCATTTGAGAAACAGAAGTTATATGACATGACACTGAAAATTAAGCAGGAAACCCAAAAGTTATTTTATGAAAGAATTTAAACTGATGGTCTCCAAAATTTATTCATCACATCTTCATGTTGTGTGTTTATTCTTACATCATTTGCAATATTAACCATATTATATATAGTTATATATTGCATAATATATACATTATCATACAATATATACATAGTATACATTATATACAAATCAATGATTTATAATATAATATTAAAATAATAAACATTCTCTGTACCATAAAAAACAGAACATAAAGAGATGAAAATAATTTAAAGTTTGTTTTAATTATTTATGGCACAAAATTTTTGTTTTCACAAAAAATTGACTGTAACATTTTGTTTTTAATTTTTATTTATTGATTTTAGAGAGAGAAAAAGGAAAGGAGGAAGGAAAGGAGAGAGGAGGAGACAGAGAGAGAAGGAGAGAAACCATCAATTTTGTTGTTCCACTTATTCATGCACTCATTAGTTAATTCTTGTATGTGGTCTGACTGGGGAATGGAACGTGCACATTTGAAATATCAGGTCCACACTCGAACCAACTGAGCTACTAAACCAGGACTTGAATATAACATTTTTAATGCAAGTATAACACAATATGCTTCATCATTTTTTAGGATTTTATTTTAATACTTTGTCACAGAGATTCAAAGAGCTAGTTCTAAGATCAATTTGTGTATTTGATTTTTTTTTAACCCTCACCCAAGGACAATTTCCCACTGCTTTTGGAGAGAGAGGAAGAGAGGGAGGAAGGGACAGAGAGAAACACTGATGTGAGAGAGAAGTATCGACTGGTTGCCTTCCCATATGTGCCCAGACTGAAGATCAAACCCCCAACCCCTATAGGTATATGCCCTGACCAGGCAGAGAACCCGACCTT